CCCGACCCACACCCACACCCACACTTTGCTTGAACAATGACTATTCGAGAAATAATCTAGAGAAAAAGACAAACAAAAATGTACAAGTTCACTCTGTTCAACTGTGTCGATTATGTATAGCTGTACACGCGAAGCAAAACGGAGAATGAATGGTTAGCAATCTGACTACGACACATTCTGATTGCGACACATTTTCGTAGTGGAATGTGCGACACTATCGCGAACGACACATTAGTGCGACATATTTTATTTTCGAGTGCGATCGCTTCTAGAAACCTCGAACACGATCCTTACCGGAATCCAAATGGACAAGATAACTGTCAGAACTAATACATATACTACATCCTCCACCAAAATCGAGAAAAACAAGAATCGTAGGAACAGAAAACCCCATCTTACACAAACTTATCTACACAAGAATAAAGCCCACCGTTCATCCCTAAAACGAAAATCCCCTCCTCCATAGAAACAAAGAAAAATCACTCCGTACTCAAACTTCTGTGATACAGCAGTGTCTGTACCTATGGGCAGCACATACCGTGTCATTGCAAAATCGTAGCAAGAATCATTATACCAAAAGAAAACTTCTAAACTTACTAAACAATACTTTAATTTTTAGTGGATAACGCGACGACATCCAAAACGAATCCCGAAATGCAAAGCGTCGTTATCTTGATGCTGTTGCTCATCTTGCTAATGCTCATCGTCATGATGATGATCTTGCTGATCGTCATCTTGATCTTTTTCGTCTTCGTCATCGTGATGGCAATAAACGTTTTGGTGCTGATGATCGTGATTTTCTTTATGATCGTGATGGTGAATTTGTTAAGATTCTCTAGTAAACGTGTGATTGTCTGTAGCAGCTGATTAAGTTGTTTTTTAAATGAAACTTCTGATTTTTTTGAAATACGGATTGGGATTAATGAAATAAATCAGCGAAAATGAAAATGTTGTTCGAGTATAGGATCTTAATCTTGCAGGTGTATCATAGGCGCCAGAATGGGTGGCGCAAGGTTTCGTACGATAGCTACTGTGTTTGATAACCGGAATATGTTGACTCAATTTTTGTATTTTTTACATGTAACTTTTCTCATAGTGACTAAATAATGAGCTGTTAAATTGTGTAATTTTACTTTTTCCTACTATTTTCAATATCTCATGGTAGTCTCAGGAACTGATGAATCAATTTTAAGCTGACACCAAGGAGAAACCACTGACTTTGTGACTTTAATAACTTTCTCGATCTTACCCAGGCAGTCAAAGTCATTAAAAAACGCCTTAAAAAGCGTTGCGATGATATGAACTCGTTAAGATGCGTAATTCTTTTAAAAATTACGCGTTTTTTACCGTTTCCGCGGCAGTTTTTTTTACCAGTTATATTACGTTCAAAGGTGTTGATACGTTTTAACGCGATAATTTCACATAAAAACCCCGTTTGATTCGTCTGTCTTAGAACTAGTTCTAACGCGTTCAATTTTAACTCGTTATACCTTGTTGTGTACTCAAAAAGTGAGTACACTCTAGAATCGGTCAGTGTGTCCGGCTGGCCGTCCGTTTACACGATAACTTTTGAAAGAAGAGTCCGATCACGATGAAATTTTCTACACAGTTTAGTCTCAACATTATC